AGAGAAAAGACAATAACTATGTTTATTGCTGACTGGAAACCCCTTTTGGACTTTTTGTATGAAACAGAAAAAAATGAACTTATGATTTATGGTTTTGATGATTATACAAAATAGATTATAGAAAAAAGAGAGCTACGTTGTAACCATAGAGTAAGCAGTAAATTTTTAATTGTACTTACAACTGCTGTAAAGATCGGAACCACCTCTTTGTATCATTTTTCTTTCTTTTCTATTTTTCTGTTACTTCTTTTCTTTTCTTTTCTTGCACTTTTAGCTTTCACTTTGATTTCTTTCTTCTTCTTTTCTTTTTCTTACTTTATATTGGTTGGCATTGGTTTTTATCTTCTTTCGTTAAAAGCTTTAATAAAATTTATATATAGTTTTAAAAAGCTATATATATATATTTGCTAAGCTAAGGGTATGGAAAGTGAAAGTGAGTGGGATGGGGATTCCCTGAAGGACAGAACAGTGGGTGAGCTTAGCCAATAAATTAGCTCCTTGCTGAGACACAATCACTTGTCCTCTAGCTGGATCGCCACAAGTGGGAACGGAGACTCAGCACAAAGATGATCAACAAAACCTTCCTTGCCGTCCTTGTACTTCTGGCTTCTTGCGTAGTTCTCATGCAAGGTAAAATGACCTGGTTCTCTTTTTGGTTCTAGAAGGGAGGCATTTCCAAGTTCACCCTCAGATTTTCAAGGAGGGGGTGTCCACCAGTAGACCCCTTCCCTATTTCTTCTACTTCTTCTGCACATTCTTTGTGTCTCCTTCTCTGCTCTTGGTCCCCTGGAATGTCTGCTTCTGGCTTTGAAGTGAGGAAAACGGGGTTGAATGGAATTAGGAACATAACATTTCCCTTATGGGAATCGGTTAGGCTCAAGTGAGCACAGCTGATGAGCCCCACTAGAGGAATTTATTTATGTATTTATGCGTGCAACCATGCATACAATCTATGCAATTTATTATCGCCTCTGTTTTGACAGATTCTCAATCTCAGGGTTCTACGTTGTGGCAGAATCCAATGTTTCTTAGGTAGCATTTCAGGTATTTTGTATAAGAAGCTGCTCCTTCTCACAAAAATCAGTTGGTGGAGCTTTTAAAAACTAGAGAAAGAAAGAAAGAAAGAAAGAAAGAAAGAAAGAAAGAAAGAAAGAAAGAAAGAAAGAAAGAAAGAAAGAGGAAAGCAGGAAAGTCAGTTCTAAATAGGACATAACAAAATAGCTCCACACAGCAAAATGTGAATAACAGAATATGGGTAGATGAGCTGTTTTCATGGGCTTGTATAAAATGCGATACAGTGCATAATGAAATGCTCAGTGTAGCAGGTGGATTTGCTGAGTAATACAGATTTTAAATCTTTTTAACATGAAGTTTCTGCTCCTCATTGAGATTGGTTTAAATATATATATTCTCTCTTGCACACACACACCATAATGCATGAACTCCCAGCCACTGGAATACTATCACCTTCTTCATGATATATTATAATTAGTATTATCTATCTATCTATCTATCTATCTATCTATCTATCTATCTATCTATCTTTTTAAAAAATTAAGTTTTATTGAAGAATTCTTTTACAGAATAAATACAATACAAATTTAAAGAAAAAGGAAAGTAAAGAAAAGAAAAGTGACCCGCAAATAAGAAATAAAAGGGACAGAAAAGAAGAAAAAAGAAAAGAAAGGCTATAAAGCAGTGACTTCTGATCTTCTTT